AATTATTCCTTTTTTTGTTTAAATGTACATTGCAGCTAACCTCTGCTTGGAATGCTAGCCTTCTACAAAAGCAAAGCGAATGACGCACCGGCGCCACCACAGAAGTTTCACCTCCCATCAAACAAATGCACGACCAGGACTGAAACGTGACGCAACTTCACTGTTATATGTAACAGAGTTTCCGTGAGCTCCACTGACTACAACAGGAGTGCTGTTGATCTAATGCTATGGTCGCGATATGTGTTTGACAGGTTGAAACTTAAATGTCTGACAGACAAGATGGCACGAGGAAAAGCTGTTTTTGATGTTACTTTTCAAACATGAATATAAGATAAGTTTTGATATAAGTCATAATGAACTGGAACAGCCTACTGATAGCAGTTTTCTTCCCACAGATTCCCATTGGTTGCTCTTGCTGATCCTGTCACGTCCTAAAGCCTTTACTGAATGTTTTTGAAGATTTTATAATTGTAAAAGACTGAGTTGACATTGAATAAAAAAATATTGTATGTGAACTGTTCTAGTCCTATATATAAAAAACTGATTTAAGAGTGCATTTTTATTATAAAAAAAAAAAAAAACTTAAATAGTTTGACTGACCCAGGACTGTAAAAAAAACAACCTAGCAAATGGGTTCATGTATGAAACCCAATAAGTTAGGTCAAAATAACCCAGCATGTGTTCTCTCCAATATTTACCCAGCACTGGGTTTACAAATAACCCAGAAATGGTTGTTTTTAACCTAGCATTTTTTAGAGTGTAGTTTTACTTTTAGATTACCTTTGCCATCATAACACTAACATGAAATTAATATGTAGTAACACTAATATTTGTTAAACGTAATATTTAGCAGATCTTAAAATGAATATCAGTTTTCAATAGTGTATACATTATAATGTTGTAATGCCTAAATAGTGTGCATTATTTCGGGGAATTGCGATTTTTCTAACAAAAATTGTGATTGCAATTTAAAAACTGATTTAAGAAAAATCAGGTTTCCTGTGCTTATTTGTAGGGCTGCACAATTTGGCCAACATTTTTTGATTATGTATCATGTGGCTATAAAATAATAATAATAATAATAATAATTTTACATTACAATTGTTAAACAACATTTTACAGTTTTCTTCATTTTCAGACTCTAAAACATCAAACTTTTATTTTCATGGAAAAACCAGGAAGCCTTTTGCCTCAGGAGTTTTTTGCAGCAGGACTTTTTACATTTGATTTTAGTTTTAAGACCAGATGAATGGATGGACGGAGGGACGGATAGACAGACAGACAGACAGACAGTTGTGAAGCATGAAAAATGTCTACATATACATGCATGACACAAAATGTGTATGTCACTTTGAACTCTGTGCATGTTTGATGTGAAGCAAACGGTGCCTCTCTAAGGGATGTTGTTTATTGAATGGTGCACTAAAAAAAACCTGTTTCAATAATGCTTTTGGCTGTCTCTGCCCAGCTGTACACGCAGGTCTGTTGATAATGGGTCTACAGGGACAGGTTAGAGTCAATGGAGAACATGCACCGGCAGGTCAGTCCTCCTCCATTAAATGACTACAGACGAAGGAGATGTTGCTGTAACTTGAAAATATGAGACATTTGCTTTGTTTGATCCAACTACAGTAGCATATTTATCATAATTAGTGACACATGGCAGATGAAGCTTCAGTCATACATCTCCAGGCCTTGTGCCAAGTCTGTGCCTCCATCTGGGGTAGAAAATAAGCATTTTATAATGTTGTAATATGAATTTGTTAAATTATTGAGCATCTACAGCATTTATTTGCCATATGCGTGTTCTGGGCGTGAAATAAGCATATTACATAGACATTAATGTTAATTAACTCTGTGTTGCATCTTTACTCTGAGATACTGTATCTCACTTGCTCATACTCTGAACACATCAACATTAATTCATAAGGCCCTCCGGCCTATACTGCACTCGCCGATACTCCGTTTAGTATTCCGTCTACATTCTTCCAATTTATGTTTCTTGTTTAATTCAGGGCGGCGTGTATCGCTGTTCCAGGTTCTAGGCTTCCGCTGACTTAAAATTCAGAACCACAGACTGATTAAAACTCAGAGAAGCGAGGCCAAACTATGCACTGCAACCAGCCAATTCAGTTACGGGTGAAGCAGGCCAAAAGAAAGTTCCCTTTCAGTTTAATCAAAGGACTACAACGTGGCTCTACTGCTTCATGATTCTCAAACAGCACCGAAGCAATCTTTCTTGCTGTTGCTACCTCACGACCACATGTGCTTGCTTGTAAACAGAGGGAAAAGCACTGACCTCACACCGAACACTTTCAATCATGCTCATCAGAGGATAAATGAGCCCTGGTGGTGCCGGTTGCGCCAGCTCCAGTTCACAGCAGCGCTGTATTATACTGTTCCCCCTTTCCAGGCATTTCCTTCCCCTAGTATGGATTACACACCACCCCAAATTATTTATTATTCAGCTTCTCACTCACCTGGACCCTATTGAGACCAGGCAACTGTGCGGTTGTGTGTGTAAGGGGACATTGAATTACCCTTAACGAAAGAACCCAATCTATACCAACTGATTTGGTGTGAATGGCTGAAGAATGGTGTTTAGTTTCTATATGCCAGTAACTGAGGGCAACATGGCCCATGACGTACACTTTGATGAAATCTATGGACACAAATTAAAATGTGATTATCGATACTGATATGAAAACAAAGCCATAATAGAGAAATGACAAAAACAATCTGAAGAATCCCTTCCTCACAAAAGCACAATGCTAGATTTTTAAGCAATGGCTTACATAAAAATGACAGTTCACATAAAAATGGAAAACACAGTAGTTCTTGTCATTATGTCAAACTGCCATAAAACCAGCAGGTCTGAATGTGCATCCGCAAATAAGATTAGAGAGCTACGCTGTCAAGGCAAAAAGAGTTACGACCAATAGACCAGGGGTTTTCAATCATTTAGATGACACTGAAACCCAAATGTGATCATCCTGGTGTGAGGGTCCCCCATCCTGAAGTTTAAAAGGCAGCAACTGTGAATATTTTCATGTATAAAGATCCAATTTATAAAAATTATATTTATGTAAAATATGATGTGTTTTCTACTCACTAGTATTGTACTGGTAGATGTGTTATCTATCTATTTATCTATCTATCTATCTATCTATATATATATATATATATATCACTTTTTTTTTTTTTTTTTTTACAAAATATCCCATTAATATCTTAGCACTCCTTTGTGGCCCCCTGAAGGTCCCTGGACCCAGTTTAAAAATCCCTGTTTTATATGATGATCTGTGCTCTGATAGATTGGTTTTGACAACTGTTCAGATACAGAGAAAACAAACTTTTTATATCAAATCAATAACATTTTTATAAAAAAACAAAGCCATTTTCTCTGTTCCAGGGTTGGTAGTTTCTGCATTTGGCCTTTGTATTAAGTTTATTTTTTAATCTTTTTTTAAATTATGTGATTATGCTGTATATGTAAAACTGCAGCATGAACATTCTTTAAAACATATTCTCTCTCTCTCTCTCTCTCTCTCTCTCTCTCTCAAGAAGCAGGGCTGTTTCTAGGCAGGCGGTTGCCTAGAGTGGCATCAGCTGAACGTGCACCAAAGATGTCGGACAATGTCAGACCACAATTTCTACCAAGGAGAAATTTGCATCCTGGATTTTGAAGAACTTCACCACCTAGTGTGCCTAAATCCCTAGAAATGGCAAAGAAGAAATAAAGTCATACTGGTTTGGAACGACCTGAGTGTAAATGCTCATTTTTGGGTGAACTATCTCAAGTCAGTGAAGTATTGAAAAAATCTGACGAGACAGAAACAAGTATTATTTAGAAAATAAGCGAAAACTGCCTGATGACTCACACTTGATGTGTTAATATTTGACCATTTCTGTTCCCTTCAGAACCAAATCAGTTGTCTCAAAACATCAGAAAGCATAGTGCTCGTTATCATCAGAGAACAATGATAAATCTAGTTTTTACATGTTAGATCAAAGCTCTCGGGATGCGTACCGGACTGCTCCCTAGGGTACAACAGAATTTAATCCACACAATTATTTCAAAGCTGACATAAACAAATGATTGAACCTTTTAAATGTCAAACCTTCCATGCGGTGACTGAGAAGGATTCTCACAGCTAGAAGCCATCATACACAACAAGGTTCAAAACTCATCAGCTTGAAACCCTCTGACTCACAAACATGAGTCAACAGCATGAAGCCACCCTTTCATCATATTAGATAATCCTTGAGGTCCAAAGCAAAATCTGCAGACCAATCATTAAAAGATAAGCAAATTAGATTTGAATGCCACAGAACGTTCAAAACATTAGGTGTGCTTAGATCCCCCAAACTAAGAGGAGATGAAAAAAGGGAAAAATAAATCAAATCTGGGAATAAGCCTCTTATGTACAGAGGCTGGCGCGCAATGCTTTCTAAATTTACGCGACCTCACTCGACCTAGTCGTATGCTTCTGCACAACTTTTAATTCCTCTAACTCTCCGTGTTTTCCCCTCTTCACTAGAAGAGCATGTCATTCCATTTGAAGAGATTTTTCACACGAGAGTATTTAGACTAAATTGCGGGGGCACTCAGCGGCTTTGAAGCGAGAAGCATCTCTATTCTGTAGAGGTCCTCAAGAGCGGCGGAGAGTCAGTCATCATCACTGCCCAAACGGTAATGATATATCATACATAATAATACACATCATATAAGACACTCTGAGGACTCTGAGGACTCGCTCTGAGACGCGCGAGCTACAGTTCGAGTGAATTATGTCAACTTAGTCGATCATTACAGTAAATGATCGTATTAGAAACCACAATGATTATAAATGCATGCTGATTTAGAATATAATTTCTCTAATTTATTAGCGTTTATTAATTATACCGTACATGATTCCTACTTGATGCCACACTATTTATTTTTCTATTTTTAAAAAAGACATCCGTTAGGAATAAAGGTGCTATGATCGATTCCTCACCTGCATTATGTTCTCGTGATGAATCCTCCTCAAGCGCGGAGGAGAAATGTCTTTCTTCCACTCACTCCAGGAGCAGCAGCTTCACCGCGCAGATCTGTCAAGTGGAATGTGAGGGAATGCCCAAGCCTCTCTCTCCTCTCTTCTGCGCTCCTCTCTTGCGTGTGTGTGTCAAAAAGAGTGAGCGCCCAACCTGTTTCTGTGGCTTCATCCATTTGAAGTCATTTATTATATTGGCAGATTAATAAAGAGGCGCATAAACCTCCGCTGGCAGATTAGGACGCAAATAGAATATGTCGAGACCGTTAAGTGACAATAAAAAGACCTTTAAAGTTAAGCGATGGTTTTCTCACCTTCTGCGTTATATGGTAAAAACTCCATTAGCGTCCCTTTAGCACGAACAGTAGCGCATGGTAGCAACGTCGAGGTCATGGGTTCGATTCCCAGGGAATGCCAACTGAAAACTATAAGTTGCTTTTTGTTAAAAGCATCTGCTGAATGTGTATTTTGGTCTATTTCCAAATGGAATTTTGGAATGCTGCATGCTGTACATTATAAGGGCAACATTATGACACAGTCCACAATAAAAATTTCAAACAGCAGTATTCTTGTCACTTAACTTTATTTTATTGCATGTTTAATTCTGCAAGCGGTGTCCAGTTAAAGGAATCGTTCACCCAAGATTTGCTGAAAATGTACTAACCCTCAGGCCATCCAAGATGTAGATGAATTTGTTTCTTTATTGAACAGATTTGGAGAAATGTAGCATTACATCAATGGATCCTCTGCAGTGAATGGGTGCCGTCAGAATGAGAGTTCAAATAGCTGACAAAAGCATAGCAATAATCAACAAGTAACCTACACAACTCCAGACCATACATTAACATCTTGTGAAATGTCTTTATAAGAAACAAATCCATAATTAAGGCATTTAAATTTAAACCATCAATTCTGGACCAAATAGGAGTCCATAATCCAAAATAACGTTAATCTCCTGTTATCCTCTCACATCAAAATCCACTGACATATTTGTTTAGAACTGTTTTGGACTATTTTCCCTTGTAAATTGTGCTTGTTCTTTGCATATTTCCCTCTTGATTCAGACAAGATGACTATTTTAATGGAGTTTTTTTAGCCAGAAACAATGGTTTAAAGAAAAAGGTCTGACGGCACCCATTCACTGCAGTGGATCCAATGGTGAACAAGTGATACAATGCTAAATTTCTAATTAAAAATATGTTTACTGCGCATATTATATATACTATATCAAGCAGTAAGGAGCAATTCCAAACACAGCCTGTGTAGTCATCACGGTTCCTCTGTTAGGTGCTATATTGACCAAAGACTAAAAAGACCAGAGGCATTTCTCAAACCATAATTAAAAGTCTCCAGGAGATTCCTCTGTTCAGAAATGAGTCAGTGAATCAATTTGCACTGCCTCCATTAATAGCATGTCTGGAAGTTTAGATAGACGGCTGTGGCTGAGTATCTGCAGTCAGCCTCATATGCGCTCTATGATGTTACACGCACTCAACGTCCTCTGGGACATCACATGCACTGTCAGCCCCCTGTGACGTCACTTGCACTCTCTGCCAAGGAAGCAGAAGCACACTGCAGTTAGTTCTTGTTTGAAGGTGGAACAGTAATCTCAGTGGGTTAGACACTTAGACACGCTATCTATCTTGCATGATGACAATGCTCAGAGTGACACAAGACATAGCGTAAAAAATATATTTTCATGTTATAAATAGCATAGCATTTTAATTATGTTTTTCCCTCCATATATTTCAATACAAGAAAATACATTCACATCTCACATTTGAAAAAACAAACAAATAACAAAAAATCACTTTAGTTTATTCCATCCACATTTGCATTTTGCCTAAATGTAGGCTACTGTAAGACTGTATTGTAAGCATGTAGGTACGCTTTGAAATATATTTTGGTATATGAAGGATAAAACTACATTTATTTTCAATTTTAAGAACAGATTTAATCAAGTTTCACTGTTATATACTGCATATATATTTTGGCATATGGGATATAAAAAGAGGCGCTCTGAAAAGCTCAGTGAATTCAAGCGTGGCACTGTCATAGGATTCCACCTTTGCAATAAGTCAGTTCATGAAATTTCATTCCTGCTAGATATTCCACGGTCAATTGGTATTATTGGAAAGTGGAAGCATTTAGCAAAAGTAGCAACTCAGCCACGAAGCGGAAGACCACTAATGTCAAATAGCGGCGTCACGAGTGCTCTGAGGCTCATTGTGCGTAAAAGTCATCAACGCCCTGCTGATTCCATATCTGAAGAGCTCCAAACTTCCACTGGCATTACAGTTTTTCTCGATTGCTAACACACTATAACTGATTCATTTGGCCCAATTTTCCAAACCATTCATACAGTTCTGAAAACAAAGACACGTTTCTCAAAACTTTTAACACATTTCACCTGTTTGCACACACGTTCCAATTTGCTCTGTGTTTTCTGCAAAACTCTACACAAAAACGCAATCATTTTGCACAGGTTTAACCATGTTCTCATTTAGAAAACACATAATATAATTAAATCATGACAACTCTCGGAACATTTGAGCATGGTGATGGATATGACAATGTTACTGTAATGCATTTGGTCTTGGCGGAACAGATCTGCTACGCTGCTGCTGTTGGTTATTGCTGTAGTTGTAGATTATTGCTGCTGCTGCAAGCAAGTACAGCAACTTGCTACTGCCAATGCATATGGCGCCGTGAATATTTAAGACATGCTGCTGCTGCACAAACAGCATATAAAATAACCCGTAGCAGATCTATACAGGTGGAGCTGGGGAAGGTGGTGGGTTTTAGAGAACTCTGAAAGCACGCTGCAGGAATCTCAAGTGAATGCTAGCCAGCCATATAAATGCAAGGCAGTAAGCTCATTGGCTGCATATGCAGCATGAACCAATCAGCTTGTGCCAAGTCGTTTAACTCTCTGAATATCATCAGTTACGTTAACACCCCGTCAGAATGCGCCATCTAGAGTTTCATGACTGAACTATATATTTAACTCACACTGTCACAAGCTGAACACAATCAGCACACAATTATGCATGTGTTAACACTAAGTAGCAAAATTAATGACACACCCATCAGAATCTCAGGTAATATAAAAAGGGCCACAGGTGATTATTTGCTTTGGAAAATGGACCCTAACGGTAAAAGAGCAGCAAGAGGTGGGAGACAGAGAGGAAGGGGCCAAAGAACATTTGCTCCTGATGAAATACGGGCAACACTAGTTGATTACCATGTTCTCTTGTGCATGGGATGACCATGAGGGAAGCTGGCCAACGAGTTCAGCCGATTGTGAGCAGATTCACAGTCACGTCTATCATTAGAACATTTGTATTTACGGTGTATATATATATATATATATATATATATATGTGTGTGTGTGTGTGTGTGTGTGTTTCTGTTGTGTATCCAGTTATCCATCCTATCACCAGCAGCATATTTTCAGCAATGTTTTGATCTGAAATGCATGACTAATGCAAAAATGTCACAACCCAGTAATCTCTGTCATAGTCTAACATGCCAGTGTCATATTCAGATGTTACATAAGATGGGAGCTATATAACACCTTCAGCATTATACAAGTCTAGGACAACCGGAAACATCTTATTGAGTTCTAAAACCAGAACATTGTAATTACAATTTGGCAAATTGCAGCAGAGACTGGGGCTTCTACACCAATTAATCTCTCTCTCTCTCTCTCTCTCTCTCTGTCTCCATCAAACACAAACAAACACATGTCGAAATAAACAGACAAATAAGGTAAATTAAAGTGTGAGTGTAAGGAAGCAGGAGCAGCACTGCAGGTGTTGGTACTATATTAAAAAAGTTGGCCTGCTAACAAAACTGTTAATTAATTAATTAAAACATAATTGGAAGTTACACAAGGCACTTACTGTAGCTCCAGGGATACTCTTCCTGCAGACTGTGCACTTCAGGGTAAAAAAACAATATTAAAATGTGCAAATATTAAGGAAGCAAATACGTAATGCCCTAAAGTGTGCACCCATTTTTTGTTAAACATGCATTTCAGCACTAAAGTGACACATTTATATGCAAATGAAATGTTACTGTTGAGCTTGATATGCCTTTAACGCCTGAAGCTGGGTTAATCACTGTGAAACCTGTGTTATGCACTGACTATCTTTACTTACATTTTAATGATTACTTCTCACTACTTATTGTACAGAAGTAGTCTATACTATGTGGTTTGTAAATATGATGTATAAGTAGAGAATTCTGGTTGAATCTGACTATTCCTGGCAAATTTTTGCCTTAAAATACAAAAAAAAAATAGAAATGGAAAAATGTCCTGTTCTACGAGTTCAGTATGTGCAAATCAAAATATTGATTCTAAGGTCATTTGATCTAACATTTTTAAAATGTTGAAGATTTATAACGGGCATCCCAGAAATCCCAGATTTTTGTTCATTGCTTATTGATCAAATCAATAATAGTTTTTCAGTGCCTGTCGAAGAGGAGGGATAGTCTTTGGAGAATGCAAAAGAAAGAAAAAGTTCCTTCTGGTTGAAAAAATTGCTGATAAAAATATTTTTTTTGTCACATTGTACATTCCTATTAACATATAAATGATATTTTCCTTAAGGTTGGCTTTTACTCCTGTTGTACCTGATATTCAGCTTGTTACAGTTTACATTGTAAAAGAAGACCATAAAGGCTTTGCATTGTGCTCATAAAGAAGACAGAGCATAAAGGAGATTACAGCTACATGTGGTTTTGATGAGTCTAGATGGATTATGGTATTTTTATAGATAAAGGAAATTGCAGTGGTAGCAGAGGTGTTGCTAACTTAATGAGAATTCAAGTGATAAAATTATTGCAGAGTGTCAGAAACTGCTGACCTGTGAACCGAAGAGAACCACTATCACCATTGTGATCTTGAGTGAGCCAATTAACCTCAGGTTAAAGGAAGACTATTCTTGCCATTACTACAATAAGTTGCTTTTGTTAAAATGGCTATTAAGTAAAAAAAAACAAAAACACACACACAAACACTGCTTCCTATTAGAGTCATGGCTTTGTGGGTAGAGCTCTGTCATATTGTGTAGTAGCATTTTGACCAACTGAGTCCTGAC